CTATGAAATGCATCTTGGTGTACTACTCAATACTAGTTACCATAACAACAGACACAACATTGTATCAGGTCAAAGGTCACTTTTTGGAAAAGAAGAAGATGGAGAAGAAACTGAGCAAAAACAATGTTTTCCTTCGAATTCGGGAAACATAATAATTTCTATTGCAAACTTATGCCCGAGGGCTGATTACAAGTACAGAAGAGACATTTGGTATAAGAACAGAGAATTAATACACAAAGAACTACTGTTAACTCCTAAAAACTACTGGGTTTGACTTCTTTTTTGAAGACAGAGGAAGGCAAAAGATTTTTCTCGGATGTTAAAAGGAGAGTAGTTTTCTTTTCATTTGTATATGTTGGTGATGGACGTTCATTTTACTTCCGAGTACGGAGGTATTGCTTTGGGTGGCTGACTTGTGAGTGTGAGTGTTTCACCTCCAAGTAGCGGCGAATGCATGGTGTAATTCATGATCTCATACAATCTCATTCACCAAATTAATACAATGTAGTCTTTTGAAACCGTGACTTAAAAGAATTTGATCAACGGATCCTTAATTGAAAACAGCGATGCTAGAAACCCTTACTGTGCCCATGGGCCCCATTTTGTCCAGCATCCCAAACTTCTCTAGAACAGCGACGTTCTGTGGCTGTGACAGGTACTGCAGGTGGTCCGATACCCCGTGTGGATCCTCAACTTCTTCGTCTGAGAAATTGAAGTAAATCTTTAAGTTACGACCTAATATTTGGGATGTTCTGTATGTGGTATAGTTACTAAGATTCACTAAGTAATGTTGCAACTATAGGTGTATGTAATGATTATGTTCAATCATTATAATAATAATAACCTTTATTGTACGTTCATGCCCTATCGGGCTAAGTAAAATGGGTAATATACATGTTTGTAGTACAGACAGCTAGCTATAAGGCTACTCTAATACAGAGGTTCGGCTTCTTCTCGTTTCTTTGTGATGTTAAAAATATAATTAGAGAACTGATAATAGTGCTGGTAATAAAACTGACAATTATTATGCAAATAATGTAATTAGCAATAACAATATTAGTCTCATTTGTTAATTATAAAATCTAAACAAATTTCTCACCTCCCCATTGTGCCATTCGTCCGTCGTCATAGTTACCGTGGTCACCTAAACAACAACAACAACAACAAATTTGTAACTTTATGTATGTATTACAGAATCGTTCACTTCTTTTTCTTTCTTGGTTCCTTCTTTTTCTTTCTTGGTACAAATAGTCAATGAGATAACATGATTGATAGTTACAGAATATGTAGTAATAAATAAGTTTATTGCAAATTCCGACCCAAAGGTTAATTGCAAATAACATGGACAAAAGAGCACTGAAATATGGTACAAAATAACTTTAAAAAACTACATAAGAAACGGTAATTGTCTAGAATTACTGATTTGTTCACTGTACTTTTTGTGTTCACTGTTTTCACTGTCGCCATCTGTACCGTGAACTTATCATTACAGTTAAGAAATAATTCCTGGACTTTCTTTTTCCTGCACCTGTCGCCACCGTGAACATTTTTTTTCAGACCGTGACATTTTGCTACCGTGATTGTCGTGAGCATAAAGTGAATTACAGTATGCATAAGTCTGTGTCTATATACTTACGCCCCCTGTTGGCTTTCCCCAGAATACCAGACAGTTGAGCCAGGTTCCCCAATACTGCCTGTTCCTCTGGACTCGCCTGTGCCATTACTTGATAAAGAATAGAAAAAAAAAAAGAAATTTAATCCTAGCCCTTGTCCTGGTGGCATTCCTGGCACAATATTTTTCCATATTTTCGTGTCTTAATTAGATCATAGACCCTCATTTTTTTGCCCTGCAGTGGCATAGTTACTTCTGCATTCTGTTTCGCTGCGGTGTGATGCGTTGCACCAGAAATACCCCCCAAATCGTACCTACACAGGGTGCTACATAGATGGTACTGTATGTGCAGAACAACACTTGTTGTGCTCCGCAGGACAAGGGCTACTATGTAGCTAGTAATGCAATGTTGAAACGATAGTACATCAATGGCCAGGCCTTATCCAGAGGTGGTCACTTGTACATATTGTTGACTGTACTTCCAGTACAAGTATATTTTGTATCACAGTTTTTCGAACAGGTAAGTTATGTAACCGACCCGTTGGTTTTACTGTGACTTGTTGTTCCTCCCTACCCACAGAGTTAACAACCACTACACAGGCTGCTTCTCCGACAAGGAGGTCTTAAAGTTGTATTAATAACCATAGATTTATTCTTAAGACTAAAACAGCCCCCCCCCCAAATATAAAGTATTTGTGGTAACTTTAAAAGCATTGCATACACTTTATTCATCTTAAGCAATGTTTAAAAAAATACACAACACACTAGAGGTATCCAAAACTAAATCAAGTAACGTATTACAATATATATAAACGATTGTTTATAATACTCTAAATTTTAAATGCCATTTTAGTTCTAAATATTATCTTTGTTTGTTGGTGCATTTTGCTACGCTAAGACAGTTTCAAGACAACACACACACAGAAATAGATATAGAATTAAGAAATAACCATAGAAGAATTCTTTAAGTGTATTTCACAGGGCATGTGAAACAAAATTTAAATTCTTCTTTTGAGGCACATACAATCATATCCCACTTATTAACCTTTAAATCAGTGAGTGCATGTTTCCATTGTTGTGTTGTGAGTCATTGACACAAGCTCTAAATTGTAGACAATTTCCTTTGTGCATCTATCAATGAAATCTACCACATGTACCTTTTCTGGTAACACAATTCGATGTATATATCAACCAATCAGTGCATTCAAACAAGCTTTCTACTTTTGTCAGTTACTGCTATCCTTAGACACACAATAACTGAATGAAGAGTTACGTACACACTACCAAAAATGCTTTTTCTTATTTTCTTATGGGAAGACGTTTTTTCTTTGGGTGAGAATAATAAGAAAAAAATAAGAAAAAAAACTAATTATCCTTATACCTACTTTCTTGCACCAAGAACAATTTTCGAATTTTTCTTAAGAGGAGATAATATTTCTAGAATAGGCTTCTTTAAATCTTGATTTTTCTTCAGTAAAGAAATATTTCTAGAGGAGATTCTAACTTACAAGATTAGTCATAACGCCCACACTAAAAAGTACTGATCTGTGCATGCATCAGTATTTTTGCCTGACATCCAGTATATGTTTACTAGCTTCGTTTTTCTCCTTTCCTCGTCCCTCAGCCAGGCGAATATCAGTTAGTATATGTATAAATGCAAAAACGATTGGTATTTAATATTAGCCTACGATATAACATATATTGGTCAGGGAAGCAATCACATGGAGTAAACCGGAACTAAAATAGGATGTGCACCGGGCTAGCGTCAGTAGTCTGTATACTGTATACTTAATACGTTGTGACTATTGTATACTCATTGTAGCCGTTTTTCGATGAAACATGCACATACATGCGTGCACATACACTTTGCATTATCCTGGCGTTGTTTAAAGCTATATCATCTTAAGTCTCCACCAGACTTCTTTACAGGCTGAATAAATAGTAGAAAGCCATGCAAATGGAGCTTCTCTGGGCGGCCAACTTCTCTGGTCAATGAAATCCCTAAAAATATATTTAGGCCGATTTCTACTGTTTATTCGGCCTGCAAAGGAGTCTGGTGGAGACTAAATTCATTTGGTGGACGCTTCCACTGTACTTGGTGAGAATGAGTTCAATTTTAAGATAGTTGTGTGGAAACAAAACAGCACCTAAGTTCTGGAAACGTGTACTTTCTTGGAACTCCTGATTTCTACTGTGCGGCCAACTCTGGTCAATGGAATCCCCATTTTAGGCCGATTTCTACTGTTTATTCAGCCTGCAAAGGAGTCTGGTGGAGACTAGTATCATCTGGTGTACGCTTCTACTGAGAGTGAGAATGAGTTCTATTTTAAGATAGTTGTGGGGAAACAAAACAGCACCTCAGTTCTGGAAACGTGTACTTACTCTGGTCAATGATATATCCCCATTTTAGGTCGATTTCTACTGTTATTCAGCCTGCAAAGGAGTCTGGTGGAGACTAAATTAATCTGGTGGACGCTTCCACTGTACTTGGTGAGAATGAGTTTTATTTTAAGATAGTTGTGGGGAAACAAAACAGCACCTTAGTACTGGAAATGTGTACTTACTTTCTGGGAACTCCTGATTTTTTATTGTGCGGCCAAGTCTGGTCAATGATATATCCCCATTTTAGGCCGATTTCTACTGTTTATTCAGCCTGCAAAGGAGTCTGGTGGAGACTAAATTAATCTGGTGGACGCTTCTACTGTATTTGGTGAAAATGAGTTTTATTTTAAGATAGTTGTGTGGAAACAAAACAGCACCTCAGTTCTGGGTACGTGTACTTACTTTCTGGGAACTCGTCGTCTGAACTATCGGAGGAGTCACTCCCACTCCCACTGCCGCTCCCACTACCACTGTCGTCGCCAAAGTACGCCATTTTTGTCAACGTTTACTCAAAATGACAACAGGACTAGATTTGATACACTGTTAGTTTGTGTTACAACCGGCGTACTGACGCTATCTGTTGTGTGCTTGTCTACACCTGGTGTCGTCACAGGTAAAAAAGGTGAAACGCCCTTTAGTGTGGGGCAAACCACTCAGACAGGTGTGTGGGGGGAACTATTTTTTTCTTAAATGCTGCAGTCAAGTGCATGTGCACGTAGTTTGTTGTATGTAGTTCACTACAATGTAACTTCCTAAATAATTTCTTAGAAATAGTGATTGATACTTTTACAATTAGCACTGTTTTGTTGTTGGGAAATATACTCGTCCACCCAAACGAAGTAAATGGACGGTTCCATTTAAGCATGTATTATAAACGCTCCGCCGATTCTGAACTTGTCGAACCAGTTTTTGTCGACTCGGGTCATGACATGACATGGCGGAACAACCAAAACAAATTCGCTAAAGACCCCGTATGTTGTAATTTTCCATGTACTGTTTACCAAACTAGTTTCAGTGACTCAAAAGAAGAATGTTGCCTGAAGTTGACGAAGAAAATGTATCAAAACCGCGAGATATTCAAGGTCACACATTGTTTGACTCATTCGCTATTGAGTCGTTTTTTTTACGACGGACTGAAGGCTCATGGGAAATTAGGTCACGCACGAACTGGCATCATTCGAAGTCATTAGCGATGACGTCATCTTAAGGTGTGTAGTTGAACAAGGGTGCGGGAAATAACAACAATTTTATAATTACCTTTTGCAAAAGCGTATCATAAATGCTAAATAAACTTAAACATATACCTGTATAAATAAAAATCATTTAAGACAGTAACATATAGACACAATCAAATAATTTTCCACTTTAATGTCATTACAAATACCCAGTTAAATCATTTCACAATGTTTATTATATACTAGAGGAAGATAACACGATACAACAATACTTATGTTGTTGAAATTATTATGACAAATCTTAGATGAACACTGCTATATGCCTTCATACGTTTGATGGAAGAAAGCTTCTATCTGCGAATTTCAAAGTGTCTATACTGAAAACTACTAAACAGCAAAAATCCGGATTCCAGCTCAATTTGACCTCTGCCAATCGGCAACAGCGATGTGGATATCTCCTAGAAACTACTAGACAACATAAATCCATGACGACTACGGTCGTCGTGCACTACGTCATCACTAGTCGCTGTAATCGTCACTGCTGTAGTCGTCATCACAGCCGCCGCCTCCGCCGTGCAGCAGCTTCCCCAGACCGTGCAGGTTGTGGTACTTCATCCCTCCGCCACGCCCGCCGTGTTTACCGCCATGTTTACCGTGCTTTCCATGGTGGCCATGGCTACGGTGCAAACAAACAAACAAACAAAAAACGTTTATCTCACTTGGGCATTTGCACTCACGTGACTACTGCCCGTCATGCTGGATGGTTAAGGCCATGCTATATGATCATCAGCTTTTATTGAATCGGGACGGGGGCCGATATCGGTTTCCAACAACCTTTGACCCGTTGCCCATGTCATACTTTCGTAAGGTCTTGCGTTTTGTTTGCACATAGAGGTAGAAAAACCCTCCAATTGTTTTGCACCTGTGTGGTTCTAAAGAAGACAATAAGACTGGTCGAAGATCGGGTGATTTCGCTCTTTTTTTGTGTTTAGGATGAAGTAAATGTAAATTAAAGTTCTTTTCCAAGATGTAAAGAAAAGTTATTTACCCGTGACGGCCTCCAGGCGAGGGGGATCTTGACCCGTGCTTGCCGTGTTTACCATGGCGGCCATGCTTTCCATGCCTGCCGGCCGAAAAAAAGACGACACAAGTTATATCAAGGCAATAAAAGATGGCACCCCCTTACCTAATAAGAGAGAGAGAGAGACAGAGACAGAGACAGACAGAGACAGAGAGACAGAGACACAGAGAGACACAGAGAGAAAGAGACAAAGACAGAGAGAGAGAGAGAGAGAGAGAGAGAGACAGAGAGAGACAGAGACAGAGATACAGAGAGACAGAGAGAGAGACAGAGACAGAGTGGCAGCGAGAGACAGAGACAGAGAGGCAGAGAGTGAGACAGACAGAGAGAGACAGAGACACAGAGATAGAGACACAGAGAGAAAGAGACAAAGACAGAGAGAGAGACAGAGACAGAGTGGCAGCGAGAGACAGAAACAGAGAGGCAGAGAGTGAGACAGACAGAGGGAGACAGAGACAGAGAGGCAGAGAGAGAGAGAGGCAGAAATTGACAGAATAAGGGAGGGAAAAGGAGATGAGGAGAGGCACACAGCGAGGAACAGAGAACTGGAAGAAAGAGAGAAATAGAAAGTTGACTCACTTGTGACGGCCTCCAGGTGAACGTGACCCTGACCCTGACCTTGACCCTGATCTTGACCCGGAACCAGAACGTGACCCTGACCCACTGCGCTTGCGCCGTCGATGTTTACCATGCTTATGCTTCCCTCCATGTCCTGGTAAAAACGGGGAAAAGTAGATCTTTTTGGTGTTGCTTGGAAATTTTAACAAACTATACAAACTGAAAAGCCTTTAGCCGTAAAAAGAAAGATCACTAAATCCGTTAGGACTGACCTCGACTCGGCCGGTCCCAAGACCCCTGACCTATGTCCCCCAGACAGTCAAAGTCGTAGTCACGTCCTCCCTTTCCCCTGCTCTTCTTGTTCATTCCCTTCAAGACCTGGGGAAGTGAAGAAAAGTTGGGAAATAAATCTTGTTTTAATATTATCTTGCACATCATTCCAGGACATACAATCGGCAATTCGGCTAATCATATATAAGAACTTTATTGCACGACAAGTGTACATGGTACACTGTGTATGTCAACTATTGCTCAACAACAGAACCCTACCTTTAAGCACATCTTAAACATGCATGCTTAAAGATTCGAACAAATATGGAACCTTTACGCATGGTTTAAGGTGTGCGTAAAGAATGAACTCTGTGCTGTGTAATAGTGTGTATTAAATAGCATAAAGAACAACATGTACTCAGAGCAACGTCAAGATTATGACCCGTTTCGGTCTATTGGATACTGTTACATCCGCCGGAAGATCGTGAAGATAATTCCTTACCCCAGCCAGCGGCCCCAGCTTGTCCAACATGCCCATCTTCTTCAGCTTCTTCATGTTCTCAGGTTTGGCCAGAAACTCCAGAGACTCCATCACACCATGGGGGTCGTTATAGTCACGACCTTGATACACATTTAAAACAGGATTATTATGTTTCACCTTCGTAGAGGGATAATATATTGTTTTTATTCCGTTTCTTCCTCTTCAGTTCCAAACAAATAAGGTCAATGACCTGTAATGGACGGCCGTCACTATGGTAACTGGTGCTGTAGGAGACACCCTGTGGTGTTCGGTTACATGTACCATTGTATGTTCCTTATGTATGTATGTCTAACTCAAGTAGTGCATCTTTTGTCTATATACGTTTGTTATGTGTCTGTTATATCTTGGCCTGTACCTAGCCCGACGTGGCATGAATGTACAATAAAGGTATTTCATTTCATTATGTAGCAAGTGGCAGGATAGAGTTGAAGGGTCTGTTCACCACATATATAAAATGCAATCATGTATAGCTGGCTAGTATTAAGTCGTTAAGAAAGAGAATACAAAAGCAGCCTTACCTCCATAAGAATGCTTCTTATTGTCATCATAAGACTTGGCCTTCTCTGTGAGATCAAGACGGAAGGTTTAAGTGTAAAGTTTTTATGAAAAAAATATGAATTCTGACCAACATGTGAATTCAACTATCTATAAATCAGTTATCATTTGATATTAATGACATAGATTTGTAGGAGTAGTAGTAGTAATAGTGGTCAGTAGTAGTAGTAGTAGTAGTAGTAGTAGTAGTAGTAGTAGTAGTAGTAGTAGTAGTAGTAGTAGTAGTGGTAGTAGTAGACTTGTTTATTCAGCAAACAAGAACATGGGATCTCCAACAAACTTCCTGGTGGCCGCGATGGCTGAATTTCGAGGCTTGTTTTGACAAAGCATTTCGACAAAATATATACATTTATCAAGAATTACATTTTAAAACAGCGATCAAAATCCATAGTAGCATCAGAGCGTTATTACACCTTCAATACGTTGTAGTATTTAAACAAACAAATAAAAACACAGGTTAGATTCACAACTTGAACAGGTAATGCTTGAACAGGTAGATTTGCTAGTGTTGATACGTACTGCCTTTGTTAGCTTTCCCCATCTTGTTGGAGAGTTTGGAGAGGTGGTCAAAAATCCCCTCATCTTCGGGAGCACATTCCGCCTTGACTGGAACAATAAAAAACAATGAGAGATGGCAGACTTCACCCCCTCATCCAGATAGATTTGCAACCCCAATTACACGGACACAATTATATTATCAGCACTACAGATGTATGGCAAGGAGGTAGAAACGCACTGCCCCTACAATGTGCTACTGTCCAAGCAGATGTTTTGGCCTTTTCTTATTTTTGGTGTGTTTTAGGCTATTTTATGCGGCTATATTTACCTGCATGTCATAGAGGTTATATTTTCAGTTGCGTGTGTCTGTTTGTAAATAAGATAACTCAAGAACGGCTGGATGAATTGGTTTGGTACATGGTGCGACGTGCGTTGGTAGGGTTTGGCGAAAACTGGAAATGTTGAGATTTTGGCCCCCCTAGTGGCTTTCCTTGGTACTGCAGCGCAACTTCCTGTTTTGATATCTCGTTTTGTACTTATGTCTACTATATTTTTTACGCAAGTCGTTTGGGTGGCAAATGGTAACTGTCTGGCAAATGGTAGATTCGCGACTCGGAATCAAGAGGTCCCGGGTTCGAGTCCTGACATGCCACCGATCTTGTGCCCTTGGGAAAGGCACTTTACAGGACTTTCCCCACTAGACTCAAATGAAAATGAGTATTGTCTGTCCAGTATTTGTTTCTATGTGCGGGACACAACACCAGCAACAGCTGCCTCTGATCCGCGTGTATTGCACTGTTGCGATTTCAATAAATCAAATCAAATCAAATTTGATTCTGTCTTTGTAGCCACTAAAACATCTGCTTGGAGATAAACATTTTGCGATTCACGCGTGTCACCATTGTTTAGGTACAACAAGGGCGATGCCTTCTGGGCTTTGCTTTTGTTAGGACCACCTTAAGAATTTGGGTGTGACCTTCAGTAAATCCAGACACCACGGGAACATCACAAGACTCAAAATTGTTGTTGTGACGTCACTCGTAATCTCCAAGCAGATGTTTGGACCTGATTTGTAGTTTACGCGCCTTACATGTACGGCGTTTTAGTGGTTATTCATATGATTACATATGATTTCAACTATATATTACAACAAAGGCGCAGATAAAGCTTCAAAGATACGACTAAAACACTAAACCTGCCCCTACATCGATATCTGTTTAGAGATTATTCATTCATCCAAGCATGCCAGAAAACATGACACACCTAGCTTTAACGTGACAATTACGTATTAAATTTATGAGCAATCATTGGGTGAATGTTGGTGTACCAAATTTAACATGGTTTAAAGATTTATAATGTATCGGTTTTGTAATTCTGACAGAGAAACGACTAAAAAAACGATAGAAGCAACCGCAAAAATGCTAAAATATTTTCCAATGTACGTATGCAGAAAAAACAACACTTACTTGTTTCAAACTCTTCGTCACAACTTGAGCTGCTGCTACTATCCTCACACTCTGCCATGCTGGACAATAGAACAAGTTAGGACTGTTCTGTGTGTATTTTTTTCTCAGAAATTGCGAAGCTCGATACAGTTTTCTCACAAATACTGTATGCAGACCTAAAACTTCGGCCACGCCTACACCTGGAAGATGCCATTTTAGGGGGGAATATAGTTGATTTTTATTATGTTATTCAATGTAATTTTACATTACTTAAACGTTGTATCTTTGAATCCTAGAGACATCATAGCATTCCCTGAAAATCTCTATTTCTGTAGTTTTAGTGATTTTTTTGTACTTTTTCGTCATGCACGTCTCTGAATCTGGTAGTGAGCTGTTCCGCCCTTGAGAAAGTTGTTGGACAGGTTCTTCACTGTTCATCCCCTGCCTACTGACCCATGACTAGTTGATCTGTATCTGTATAGCCGGTATAACCGCCCTTCGGCGTAACACTCCAGCTTCGGAGGCACGTGGCGCGGCGGCAGCTGGCTATATTACACCGAACAACTTGTTACACTCGATCTTTGCACATTTGATTGCAGGAGTTGTTTAAAGCTTTCTAGTGATGATGCCCCAACTGTGCTTGGTGGCAACGAGTTCCAGTCTACGATAGTTCTGGGGAAATACAAGTTTTCGAATACCTCAATTCTTGGTTATTAACTCTGATATTTGACGGCATGACTGTTTCTTGTTCTTTTCTGGGCTGGTATCAGATACTTAGTGGTTGGTACGTCCACCAGTTTATTAGTCATTTTGTACATCATGCACAGTCTGGACATTCTACGTCTGTCTTCCAGCGACCCCCACTGTAGGTTTCTTTGCATTTCCGTTACACTAGCACCCCTTTGATAGTTGTTCGTGCAGAATCTTGCAGCTTGGTTCTGTACCCTTTCCAGTCGATGACAGATAAACATTATTTGCGCCGCGCCTTCAAACACCAGTCATTAGACGATCTCTTTGGCAAGAAAAGCGGTTGAGTCACACAAAAAGAGGCTACGGTCATGTTAGGTTACTACTTTGTGTAACGTTTATTGGAAATTATATTTTTGTTCCGACAACACAAAATTGTTGCAACATTTGCAAACAACACCAAACAATAATGATATAATAACAATGTACTGTCAAAAGAAATTTGTCAATTAATCTTTATCTGGTATCTGTTTTCTGATGTATAACAATTCACAATAAAACGAAGAGCGTTATATTTTGGTCTTATCTCTAGGCTATGTCATAAAATTTAATACCTTAATTTTTTTTGACGCAAGGGCCATTTTCGCATGGACAATTTCAACCTACAAAATATGAATACAGGACAAATCTTAATATTTTCAAATTCTAGTTACTAGACAATAAGGGCTACCAAGAAATACGAATTCAATATTGTAGCCTATTACAATCAGGTGGGGTTTTTTTTGCATCTTTTCTCATAACAAAACAGTGTATTTTTTGCACTGTCAGAATTGTGACATCTAAAGCCTATGCATGTGTCTGTTCGTATTTCAGGCCACAAAGCAGTATGAAGAACTTTATTGCACGACAATTGCACATGGTACAATGTATGGCAAACTACATAAAGAAAGTAACAAACAATAAAATAAATGTGTTGAATAAGACCTAATGTCGAATCAAACCTAATATATCTTAATTACTCAAACAATAAGGGATAGTACAAGTCTTTGACAAAGTATTACAATCGAATGGGCTAATCACAAGTTTCGGTATTTTTTCTAATAGCAAAGCAGTCCTTTATATATCTACCTATTTTTGCATATGTGTGTGATTGGGTTCTGATGGCGTGAAGTCTGCCATCTCCGCTTGTCCTCAGTCGCAGTCGCTGTCCCCGCTGTCGCTGCCGCTGTGGTACTCCTCCCCGCCCAGTACTGCGCCCAGGCCGTGGAAGTTGTGCATGCGGATCCCCCTGTAGCAGCCCCGACCCCCACGGGGACCTCCCCGGGGCCCACCTCGGGGCCCACCCCATCCTCCACCCTGGCGACCTCCATGCCCATGCCCATGCCCATGCCCGTATCCTTGTCCACGTCCTTTCCCTTGAAAAAAAAAGGAAAACATAAAATATACACATATATATATAAAGGTGAAAGTGTCACGGAATAAAAAGAAACCTACAGTGGGTCTCATTGGAGTACAGAAGAAAAATGTCCAGACTATGCACGATGTACAAAATGACTAATAAACTGGTAGACGTCCTAATTACTAAGTACCTAATACCAGCCCAGAAGAGAACAAGAAATAGCCATGCCTTCAAGTACCAGAGTTATCAACCAAGGATTGAGGTGTTCGAGAATTCATTCTTTCTGTCCTAGAACTATCGCAGAGTGGAACTTGCTGTCACCAAGTACAGTAGGGGCATTACCATTACAGGAAGGTAAATTTCTCATGTTTCTGCATTAAAAAATTTTATCATTTTTTTTTAACTCACGTCTGCCCTTCCTGCCCCAGGCGCCCTTTCCCAGGTTCCCCAGCCTCCCGAAGTCGTGGTTACCATGGTTACGCCGCCGGCCGCCATGACGACCTCCGCCGCCATGTTGTCGACCTTTGTGATGACCTTTCATACCTAAAAGAACCTAGCAAAACCATTAAAGGCAGCGTTGCAATTTTCTGCCAGAAAATGTTATATAATTATGTTTTTAACTAGCAAAAACATGACCTTTATTAAAAAATAAACAACCCGTGACTTGGTAATATTTTCTACTTTAAATTTGCACCATTTCTCTTCCAATTACTACGTTCCCTCTTTTTTCTCTCACTCATACGTTCCTACACTCTCCCTTCCTTTATCCCTCGTTTAATTCTAATCATTTTTGTTCCCTACTTCATTGCATCTTTCCTTCCTTCATTTCTTCATTCTTTCCATCTTTGTTCTCTACTTGATTGCATCTTTCCTTCCTTCATTTCTTTATTTTTTCCTCCCTCCCTAATACCCTTTACCTTTACAGAAAATCAGAAGTCATTCGCCTCGAATATGAGAAAAGTGTTTTCTTACCCCACCAAGTGGTCCTAACTTCTTCAGAAGGCCGTGACGCTTTAAGACGCCCATGTGTTTGGGGCGGGAAAGGAAGTCAAGATATCCCATGATTCCATGCGGGTCATCATAATCCCGACCTGGAAAAGTTAAAGAACAAACTAGAAAATAAAAGTATTTGTAAATGAAATACATCACGTTTACCTTAACACGGTCTAGCCTAACAAACTACTGCTCAAACGATTTCATATACATGACTGTGTATATGGTGACCAGCCCCTACAACTCCTGCCACTTGCTACATAATGTAATCCAACACCACAATGCGTCTGTCTAACAAACAAGTCACTATGTGTTATGTTCTAACTCACCGCCATAGTTGTGCCGCCTTCCATGACGGTAATTATCATGTTTGCCTGCAAAGATAGATTATGATTTTCAGAAAACAATACGACTAATGGCGCTGGAGCTAGTTGTTACATGGTTCACTGTGCACTGAAGCTAGGTGTTACTGTACAACAATGCAGTCCCACGCGTAAAAAAAATTACATGTATAATGTGAGAATACTTAACATTTACTACTGAACATTTAGCTCCGTATTGTTGGTTAACTATATATTTTATATCAATACGTTAAACCTATATTGTTACGTGTAACACTATGTTGTGACAATATCTACTAGCTATAATCTACGGTATGTCACAACTGTTTTACGCATGGGACTGCATAATGTTATAGTACTAGTAACATCTATGTAGCTTCAGTGCATAGTAAAATGAGGAACACCCTGCTCCAATGCACAGTACGCCAGTTATCATAGCACTAATGAAGATGACAGACGGTTATGGTAACGTAAGTGTTAAACAAATAGTTGTGAATAAAAGAACTTTACTATGAAATTGATGATGTTTACGTACGTCCCCTGTTGACATGACTGAGAGTTTTAGACAGAGCTGACAGTGTGTTAAAAACTCCCTCTTCTTCCGGAGCCGCCTGGGCCACGACTGGAGAAAGGTACAAGGCAGTCAGAGATGGCAGTCTTCACTCCCCCCCCCCACCCACACTTCGACCCTTCAAATCTCGATCATGAAATTTGAAATAATACTGAGGTTTGATGATTCTCTCTTCAAATATGACAGATTTCAATAGACTTGTTGTTACAGACAGATTTGATTATATATTTAAATTAGAAAGAATACTGATTTGCTGTCACATGTACCCATAGATAACTCCGCCTGATTGTAAAGCCTAAGCTAACTTTTGATTATTTCTTTTCTATATATAAGTTGTTAAGTTTTATTCTATACCTATCTATTTTACTATGCTACTTATTGTTACCTATTTGCCATACAATGTACCCTGTACAATTGTCGTGCAATAAAGTTCTTCCTTGCACTGAACACAATTTAAAATATTATAACGTAGTAGATATCATGTCCCAACGGACCCCATAGTTTAACATTGTTGAATAGCTATAACAAACAGTTATAATGTATATAGTATATAGTATAGTATGGAGTGGATTCATTCCTCGAGCTAAGCAACATCACACACACAGTTGTCCCTCAGAAAGATATCTAGAGCCGCATAGTTAGAACTTAGAACTTTTATTCAGCCTGTCACACATACAGATGAGCTTGGTGAATGTAGTAAGGAAAGAATCCGCTCTACTATATATTATTATAATAACTACTAAGAATATATAATGTATATAATGTGTGATTAAGATAATCATAAGTTTGCCCCACTTTTCTCGTACTCCTCATCCGAACTGGAGCTGGTGCTGTCATCGTCACAGTCCGCCATATTGGTGGGAGGGGGGTGACCTTGAAACAACTTGTGCTGCCAGACGTTCACAAAGTCTTTTACTTATAATAGACCAGTCGTGGTGCACACACAAGATTAAATCAGCTGGTAACTTACATATATGGACACGCCTACTTCTAAGTTGGGATGCACCATACGTGAGGGCAAGTGGACACTCATTTTTTTTCTTTGTTTAACTTAGTTGAATAAAATCACAAAAGTCTACCTTGTTTACCAGATTCTATACTTATGGTTTACAATATAGTTACTTTTCCATATACATTATTCTGTGTAAGGAATCTGGCAAAATCATACTGTGGCAAAATCAGGTTAAGAACACCCCCCCCCCCCAGCCATTTTAAGTTGAGCTGTGCCAACCGAAGTTGTCCGACTGGTTCCGACATTCTAAACGGCGCTAGTAAAATTGGAACCAATGACCCATATAATTTGTGCACAGAGGTTATACGTGACGCTATTTCTTATCGTAGTTATGCATCGTTTTCTATGGAGTTTTGTTCCTTTTGGAGTTAAAATCTTACGATTCAGCATCACCCACACAGTTGTTTGGTAGCAACACCATGATTTCTAGTATCCGGACGCTATCTGAAATACTCCGATAGTTTCCTAATTTGAGAATTGTTTTGAACAACAACAGGTACACCTAGAAGTCAATACAGATTGACAAAACAACAAAAAAGGATTTGAATAACAATTAAAAATGGCTGTCTCTTTGCAATTGTTCCTCACATCTTTCTATTTAAACGGATCATTACAGACAAAAACAATTATTGTTCTTTGAGAAGGAAGAAATTAAAATTCGAAGTGTGTATGAGAGAAAACAGAAAATATTTTATAGATCCTCCAAACGTCTACTTTTAGAAGAGAGTGACAGGTGCCTCCCAAATCACGCGAGACTTCCCGACGAGACTTGAGAGGCAGTCAGGACACTAACCCAGAAAAGAAGACACACCTTCAGAAACACCACAGGTGAATTGTCTGTTTTTCCGTGTTCAGACAAGGTTCCAAGGCACTTGAAAGGTAACTGGTCACATGGTTCTAATGTTAGAAGTTGCTGAGTAAATGTATCAAATCGCACAAACGAACAGGCGATGAATTTAAAGGTACAATAAAACCATTTGGTCTTAATTATTTTGGTTAACTTAATGAGCATGTCATATCTTTGCCTCGATCAAGATACTTTACAGCTTCTTTTTAGCGCTCCAATAGAATTTGGTAAAATGAAAATGGTTTGTCAAATTGTAGGAAACTTAAGAGAAATCGGTAATCGTTGGTTCCTTGGTTTGATATAGTAGGGGGGCCATACTTTTTCGTAATTTGATATGCTGCCACATTTTTTGGGGTATTTTGACATATCAATTATAGGAATTGTCTTAAGGAAAGGCTATAATGTTTTTCTTGATAATTTGGACTGTAATAAATGAAGTGCAAGTATTACTTTAATATAATAAAACCATTCATAAGGCTTAGACAAGCTAGTGTAATTAGGGGCATTGCCAATCTAAGGTTGAAGTACACCTGTGGTAAAGTATAATTGTTATGTTTACCAAAGGAAAACATATTGTTTTTGCTCCATTTCTTCTTCTTCTGTTCCAAACACTAACCTCTGACCTGGCCAATGGCCTCTTTTGTTGACGTCTGTCACCATAGTAACTGGTGTTGGGTTAAATAATGTTGCAATTTCATAGTAGGCATTTAGACTCCTGTCATGTGTTTGAGTAAGAATTGACAGAGCAGACCATATCTGAAGGTAAACATTATGCATTTGCTTTGCAAATGTTACGTTTCTAGTTTTTTTTTGGGGTGTGTTTGTCTGTTTGCTTGTGCTAGGCTAGACAATTGCATTGTTAGGTCAAAGGTCCCAGAAAAGGCTATCTCATTTCCTGTCTTCAATTTCTTGCTAGTATGTCTGCTGCTTCATGGAGACCAGTGAGAAAATACATAGGCAGAATCAGCAAGAAATTCACAATTATGAATAAAACAGTAAATTGACAACAAATTTCATGTCGATTTTTGCAGATTTCTGAACTAATCAACCTTAGGACTAGTGACAGTAGTGGCAGCTGAGAATAAGAATGGGGAAGCTGCAAGAATTCTCCATCCAGTTTGCCAACAACATGGACGTGTTCATGCCAGGACAGTGGGTGACTGGACAGGTGGTCGTTGACCTGAGTGATGAGATGAAGATGAGAGGTAAGACAATGGATTATTCTTAAGAGTTTGATTAAATGTCTGCCTATCAGGGGCCAACTTAGTTCAAATGCACCTGTTTGTTATGATAATTACCTTTGCAGAAGGAAAACATTATAATAATTGTTTTTGCTCCTTATGTTCTTCTTCTCCAAACAAATAAGGTCAATGACCTGAACCAGATGTCTGTCACCATGGTAACTAGTGTTGGGTTACATCATGTTGCAATTTCATAGCAGGAGGGATTTTGACTCCTGTCACCATATAAGTGAATGTGTTTCAGTTAAAGCCATGAGAGCAGACCATATGCGAATGTAAACATATATTGCATTTTCAAATGTTTCCAAATGTTACCTTCTAGTTTACTTAAACTATATGTGCCTGCATGTTTTTTTCTAGCTATCGAACTGACGTTTAAGGGCAAAGGTCATGTAGAGTGGCGGGAAAATCAGCAGGTTCAAGACGGAGGTGAACCCGAGCAGGAGGAGGTGCGGTACTGGGCTGACGAGGAATTCTTGGACAGGGAGATCACAGTTTTGGGAAAAGGTACAGTCTGTTTACACAATACACTGTCATACCTGCCACATCAGTGTATAATGTAACTTTTTCATCCATTGTCAATAAGTGTAGATGGAGAACAAATACACGTAGATACATTATAGAAGTCAATGCATTACTGCTATTGAATTGTATACTGTGTGTGTGTGTGTGTGTGTAGTAGTAGTAGTAGTAGTAGTAGTAGTAGTATAGTAGTAGTTAGTAGTAGTAGTAGTTAGTAGTTAACAGAAGTAGTAGTAGTAGTTACTGTAGTGTAGTAGTAGTAGAAGTAGTAGAAGTAGTTGTTACTGTAGTTACTGTAGTAGTTGTAGTTACTGTAGTACAAGTAGTAGTAGTAGTAGTAGTAGTAGTAGTAGAAGTAGTAGTAATTGTTGTTACAGTAGTATTAGAAGTAGTTACTGTAGTGTAGTAGTAGTTACTGTAGTAGAAGTAGTAGTAGTAGTAGTAGAAGTAGTAGTAATTGTTGTTACAGTAGTAGTAGAAGTAGTTACTGTTAGTAGTAGAAGAAGTAGTAGAAGTAGTAGTAGTAGTAATAGTGTAGTAAGCAGTAAAATGCAGTAGCTACATGTATAGGTGATTAGACAGTAAGTTATGTGTTTATCACTTAACTTTTACTTTGGCACCATGCTTGCAATTACATGTAGCTATCGGGCTTCAAATTATTGAATCATTAATATTAATCATACTTTATAAGACAGTTCTTTACTTGAACCTTCTCTACTGTAGATGAGTCCGGTGACAACCGCACGCTCGACGCCGGCCACCATGTTTTCCCGTTCCAATACCAGCTGCCGCAAGATGGGCTTCCCACCTCATTCGAAGGGGCTCATGGCTACATCCGCTACTCCGTGATAGGAAAAATTGACAAGCCGTGGAAGTTTGATCACAAAACCAAGAGGGCCTTCACTGTTCTGGATATGGTGGATCTGAACCAACAACCCACTGCTATGGTAATAATGCTATTGGTACCTGATCATGTCTTCTAAATGTACATTTATTGCTTTTTTCTTCTTTGTTTATGTTAATGTTTTTGTTCATGTTAAATTAAATTAATCATCTATGCAAAGTTTTGTAGGTATAGGCCAAATGAAACACTGAGGTTTGGGCTTTGCAAATTTTCTGGAATTTGAAAATGTTATAATATTATGTTTTGTTGGTTTTGTGCTCTAACAGATATTAAAGACTGTTAGCCTTTTTGTTGCTTTTCTCTCCTCAGACCCTTTATAGTGGTCAGCATTTCAAGACCCTGTGCTGTGCCACTGAGGCCCTCTAGCAGGTTACAGCGGAACTGCACCTGTAACCAATCCTGTTTTGCTGTCCACAGACTACCCCAAGTGGTCAGAATCCAAGACCCTTTGCTGTGCCTCTGAGCCCTCTAGCAGGTTATAATAGAACTGCACCTCTATGGTAACCAATCTTTTTTGTTGTCCACAGACCCCGCTAAGTGACAGCACTCTCTGTCATGTCTGTCCAAGACCCTATGCTATATATGCTGTGACTCTGAGTCCTCTAGCAGGTTGTAATGGAACTGCACCTCTCTGTTAACCATTTACCCTGTGTTGTTGTCCACAGACCCCACTAAGAGGACAGGAGTCCAAGACCCTGTGCTGTCTGTGCTGTGCTTCAGGACCCATTGAGCTGCAAGTCATGGCAGAGCGCTCCGCTTACTGTCCAGGAGAACTCATCAACATCAAGGGTTCACTGGAGAACAACTCAAGTTCCAGAATCACCAAGGTCAAAGCCAGGCTGAAGCAGGTAATTTTAGTCTAAAAATTGCAGTCCTTTCCATGAATAACAAATTTGATGAGTTTTTGCCCCAAATTCTGCATGTTCTACCAAGAACCAGGGGGAGGGTCAGTGCAGTTCCTGTGAGTTCTGCCAGGGGGAGCAGTGCAGATGGAGCCGTGCAATTCCTGTATGTTAAGCCAGTACAGTGTCTGCATGTTCTGACAGTGCAGTTCCTGTAATTTCTGCCAGAGGGACCAGTGCAGTTCCTGTAAGTTCTGCCAGAGGGAACAGTGCAGTTCCTGTAATTTCTGCCACAGGGAACAGTGCAGTTCCTGTTTGTTCCTCCAGGGGGAGAAGTGCAGTTCCTGTAAGTTGTGCCAGGGAGCAGTGCAGTTCCTGTAAGTGCTGCTAGAGGGAACAGTGCAGTTCCTGTAAGTTCTGCCAGAGGGACCAGTGCAGTTCCTGTAAGTTCTGCCAGACAACATACAGTTCCTGTAGTGCAGTCCCTGTAAGTTCTGCCAGAGGGAACAGTGCAGTTCCTGTAAGTTGTGCCAGGGAGCAGTGCAGTTCCTGTACGTTCTGCCAGAGGGAACAGTGCAGTTCCTGTAAGTTCTGCCAGAGGGAACAGTGCAGTTCCTGTAAGTTCTGCCAGAGGGAACAGTGCAGTTCCTGTAAGTTCTACCAGAGGGAACAGTGCAGTTCCTGTAAGGTCTGCCAGAGGGAACAGTGCAGTTCCTGTAAGTTCTGCCAGGGGAGCAGTGCAATTCCTGTAAGTTCTGCTAGAGGGAGCAGTGCAGTTCCTGTAAGTTCTGCTAGAGGGAGCAGTGCAGTTCCCGTAAGTGCTGCTAGAGGGAACAGTGCAGTTCCTGTAAGTTCTGCCAGAGGGAACAGTGCAGTTCCTGTAAGTTCTGCCAGAGGGAGCAGTGCACTTCCTGTAAGCTCTACAGAGGGAGCAGTGCAGTTCCTGTGTATTCTGCCAGAGGGAACACTGCAGTTCCTGTGTATTCTGCCAGAGGGAACACTGCAGTTCCTGTGTATTCTGCCAGAGGGAACACTGCAGTTCCTGTGTATTCTGCCAGAGGGAACACTGCAGTTCCTGTGTATTCTGCCAGAGGGAACAGTGCAATTCCTGTAAGTTCTGCCAGAGGGTGTGAAATCACAGCTAACTTTGCCTTGTTTGTTTGTTTCTTTCCACAGGAGGTTGTGTACAATGCTGACCACCCAGAGCACAAGCCCCGTCCCATTACCAAAGACCTGGGTACAGCGGAGGAGGGGGGGTGTGAGGAGGGGGGGACTGTAGACCTTAACCTGACCCTGCCTGTCCCCGCCGTGCCTCCATCCAACCTACGCTACTGTAGCCTCATCAATCTCACATACAAACTGGATGTAAGTCTGTTTTTTTCATTTGTGTCGCATTACTGATTTACAGTCATGTTTGCGTTACATTTGACGGACTTAGATAACGCAACGCTGTCGCAACGCAGCGATAACGCTGACGCAACGCAGCGGCAACGCTGTCGCAACGCGATAACGCAACTTGCGGTAATTGACCCCCGGCCGCACGAATGCGTTACATCGTTATTTAACCTGCTACCGAGTGCGCCATCGCGCTATTGACGCAACTATAATGAGCAGGATAGGGTTTCATGTTTGTTTGTCTACTTTGTCATTTAAATTTAGAAACAATACTGGGTGTTATGACCTCCTTTCAGCGGTCATAGACATGCATGAGCGTTGGAATGGGATGGCAGGAATTACTAGTAGTAGTTTGAGCATGGATGTAAAGATGGTTTGAGGCATTTCCATGAGGTTATTCATCAGCCTGTCTAAACATGTAACGCCCCAAAAATACGTTAGATATACTAGTAGCAACAATAATTCCAACTACACTTCACCCCAACATGTCGCAAACAAAATATAGCAACTCCTCCTCCGCTACTTTTCAACACGGCAAGGTCAGACAATATTTGGTGTTGCCCCGGCGGCCGGAATCCTACTTGTGCAGTCAAAAGCGTAATGAGCCGGCGCATGTTGTCGATGATTTTTTTTAACCATAGAACGCATAATTCAGCAACCAAAATTGAATTGTCAAAAGCTTAGGATATATCCCGCCAGCGAAATGGATCTGGTAAAGGAGCTGTCTTGTTTACCGTCGCGACGGTAAGGTCTGGGGTACTTTGTCGAATCGCTACCAGTCTGTAGAGAGTGCCCGGAGAGAACTGTTTGTGTGTGTATTCGGCTGACGAAATGATCTTTGTTTTACATTCGGTTCTTGTCGTCAGCGAATGAGTGTGTTTGGTATGCTCACGAGATTTGCCGATCTTCACCAGCAATTTTCTAAGGGGAGGAAAGATCACGATTATGGTAAAGGAAAACATCACATGATTGACTGCAGTCCCTTGCACTTGGCACAAAAACAACAACTTGTTGGAAAACAAAAAATAAAATAAAATTTTTGATCATAGTAATTTTTTGAAATTTTGAATTCGTGTATGTAACCATGGAGTTAAAAGGAACCTCCCTGGTGTAACACAGGAGATCTTTTCTCCTTAGAGTCAGACAGCTTGGCGCGACAGACCTGTCAACATTGATTGATGACGCCCGCCCGACACAACTTAGATCAAAGGCGGCGGCGGCCAGTTTGAATGTAGCAAACTCGTTTCACCAGGAATTCTCACGCTGGTGGATTCACAACATCACGCTGATAAAGAATCCAGAGCTGTATCAAGAATCTGACCAGATCGTCTGTATTTCTGCTATAGCCTATGCATGCTGAGATTTCACGCTGTACACGCTTTTTCAATGCATTCAAAGTTTCTTTTGACAAAATATTGACGGCGCGGAGTTGCAGCGGCTCTGCATACTTATTTAAAAGATGGCGGGTAACGTTACTTGTCATATGACTCCTCGATCAGTTTCAGCGACATTTTTCTACACTTGACTTTTCTTCGTTGAATGAGCTAAGCATTTCTGGGATAAGCTCGCAAAATGTGTATTGTAAACGAAACAGATAATAGGCTATTCATCCAACAATGAACAATAGGTGTAAAATAAACACTAATCCATTCGCCCATCCGTGCACTACGATGTTGTTAATTAACTATTTTACAAATGAAAGCGCCAAATTTCACGATCCAATCTCTAAATAACCCAACAGTTCAGTCAATAAACGAAATGGCGAAGCTGTATCAGTCCCGCCCCTGACAAAATACTTCTCTTTTTTTTGCAATATTTAAATGTTCTTTTGATGTGTTTTCAGGTTCATCCTCTAGTCTTTGATTGAGTTACGAGACTGTGCTGCGTGAAACATGTGCGGACTTTGCAGGATCAACAGGATTACATTCAAGTTTTTTCTTTAGTTTTAACGTTCGGTTATTGACTAGAAAGTTCCGTTTGGTTTTGACGTTGAACTTCGTTTGTTGACTAGAAAGTTCTTGTTCTTTCGTTTAGGCGTTCGGTCATCGACAAGAATGTTTTCCGCTTTATTTTGACGTTTGGTTGTTGACTACAGAGTTTTTTCTTTCGTGTTGACGTTACGTCGTTGACTACGTTTTTTTATCGTTTGAAGTAGATTGAAGTTCCCCAGTTTAGACGTTCGTTTGTTGACGTCTGTTGACTCAGTTTGATATGTTATTATTACGTTTTGGTCTTCTCAATTCCATTGAAGTTTTTGCTAACCACACTTTACTAACTGATTTCGCACAACTAATAACTCATATCATTAAAGCTAATATACTAACATGTATCAGTTCATGGATATTTTAGGATACGTACACAGTTAATGTGATTGACGAGTAAGTGCTATTATATTTTATCAAAGAAAACGAGGGAATTGTTGGGAAATCTTCTTGTGGGAAGTGTTCTTGTCTATTTTATTACCGGTAAGCAAACGGAAGAAATGCTGCGAATGAATGTAACATCTGAAAAATGCCGCACCGAACCCTTTCGGCCGAGATGTAATATAACAACGGATGGTTCGTGTGCCTAACTCAAAATAGATACATCATAAAAGTTTTTAAAGATTTGCAACGGGACGATAAGATATTGAGGAATATAGTAACTGTTTACTTACCTTAGACAACACCAAAAGGACGATCACAAAGTAAACGATGGTCTAACTACATTATACCGGTAGTGTGACTTTGTCAGCTGGAAGGTTGTCCAACTTGGCAAAAGATGTCAGTTCAAGACATATGGCGCACGTTTGTCCGACGTATAATCTTGTATCACATTTTCAGCTAAGGGTGAGGTGTATGGTGTTTGATGTCCAACAAAAATATTGACACATGAACATGTGAAGAAAACGCCGTTAAACAGTAGTTTGTTGGGAAGTTAATAGTTCCGTGGTGTTTTCTAAAGCCGTCACACTTTAGATTGTTGGAAAAGCTTTCTGTAATATGTCAGAGTGTATAACACTCCAGTGTGTCATTACAGACAGCGGGTAAGTTATAGAACGTTTGAAAATAACGTCCAATCAGAAATAATGATAACGCAGATTTGATACAATGCATTGGGAGCGTCTATTGAATTGCCTTTCATCGGAAAATCGAGAGTTCCGTATCATTCTTGAAAACTGAGAACACGACAGATCCCTATGAATGCATATTGTTATACAAGAAATATAACATCCTAGTACATAACTAAAAGAAAGAGTATTTTGTGGAGGATTTAAAAAAATGACGTCTATATAAAAAGATTGGCAGCGCAGTTGAATTGATGTCCTGATAGATTTGTATTCCAAATGGTCTCGTATTGGAAAATTTATGGTTCCGTATTGCTTACTAAAGTTTACAACATTGTAGGGGGATGTAAAACTTGTTGTAACATCACTAGATAAACAGAATTTTAGTGTTATATTTCACGCTAAGCGTTTAAAATTTCCGTCCAAATTGAAGCATTGACAGCGCGGGTTTACTAGAACACGTAAGGAAACGTTCGTCTTCAATAGGCATTTCAATAGTTCCGTGTTGTTTTATTAAACCCAGAGCATTTTAGGACGTTTCAAGAAGCCTTCTTTGATATGGCAATAATAGTACTCTAGTAAATCGTTTTAAAACGGATGGTGTGGAGGATTTTAAAAAAGACTAGAAGTAGGAAGATTCACATGCATGCAGCGCAATGGAAAGGGCAATGGGCCGAAACACGTTCCCTGAATGAACGGTCTCATAGAAAGTTGATGGGTCCGTGTGTTTTCTGAAGTTAAGAACACAGCTGGCAGTAGCAAAAAACATCTTCTACTATCGAAAGATAAACATGATTCTAGTACCATAAAATACGGGGGTATTGTAGACCGTTTGAAAATATAGTCAGAAGAAAAATATTGACAGCTCTGGTTTATAGAACACGTACTGAAAATGTCGACGTCTGTTGACGTCGACATTTCTTCTTCGCAAAAGTGATGGTTCCGTGTTGATTTCTAAAAGCAGGAACATCGGTTCCTCAGACCCTCGAAAGAAGCATTCTGTAATATGGCATGGTGTTGTCGTATATAATGATAGACAACGTGTGACTGGTAATGCGTCTGTAAATGATGTCGAACCGGAATATTGACAGTGCGGGTTTCATTCACAGCATGAAAACATCCATTGACCTGCCTTTTGTTTGAAAATTGATGGTTTCGTGTTGTTTTCTTAAACTGAGAACACTGTGGACCCCTCAAAAACCTTGGCCTAGCATGACAAGATATATAGCATTCTAGTAAATCGTTGTTAAACGGATGGTGTGTGGAGGATTTGAAAAGAAAAGACTAGAAATAGAAAGCTTTACATGTATATCCCGCAATGCGAACGGAATGAATACGCGCGCCTACAGTTTTGTAAGATAAATGGCCTCGCATTGGAAAGTTGATGGTTCCGTGTATTTTTCTGAAGTTAAAGACACATTGATAGAAAAAAGGAATTGTTGTAGCATGAAAAGCTATACGAAATTCTTGCATAATAAAGTTGGCTACGGAGAAGTTATAGACTGTTTGGAAATAAAATCCGAACATCGGAACAAAAATAGTGACAGCGTGGGTTTCATAGAACGCGTACGAAAACGTGTTGAATACTAGTAGCCTTTTTTTGCAAAAATGAAAGTTCCGTGTTGTTTTCTCAAACCGACAACGCCGTAGGGCCTTACAAACCTTTCTGTAATCTGACATGGTAAGTAGCATGTTAGTATATTATTTTAGGCAACGGGTGACTTGTAATGTACTTGTAAATGATGTCCGAACTGAAATATTGACGGCTGCATCGTATGAATACGCCTATTGAACAGCCTTTTTGCAAACAAAATAGTTCCGTGTTGTTTTCCAAAACACCTTATGCCCTTGAAAAGGCTGTCTGTAATATGGCATGGTAAGTAGCATACAAGCACTAGTTAGTATATTATAGGGAAAGGATGACTTGTAATGTGCTTGAAATTGACGACCGAACCGAAATGTTGACAGCGCTGGTTTCATACATGGCATGAGCACGCCTGTTGAATTATTTTGCTAAAATTTTAGTTCCATGTTGTTTTCTAAAACCGAAAACGCCTAACGTCCGTAAAAAGTATTTCTGTAATATGGCATAATATATAGGATTTTAGTATGTCATCATAGGCAACTGTTGACTTGTAAAACTTTGGTATATGGCGTCCGAACCGAAACATGGACAGTGCGGGTTTCATTCACAGCGCATGAAAACGTCCATTGACGTCCTGCCTTACATGAAAATTGATGGTTTCGTGTTGTTTTCCAAAGCCGAGAACACCTTATGCCCCTGAAAACGCTTTCTGTAACATGGCATGGTAAGTAGCATACAAGTATATTATAGGCAAAGGATGACTTGTATATAAAGGTACTTGAAATTGACGACCGAACTGAAATACTGACGGAGCAGGTTTCATACATGGCATAAGCACGCCTGTCGACCTTTTTTTGCAGAAATTGTAGTTCCGTGTTGTTTTCTAAAGCCGACAACGCCTTAATCCCTTGAAAAGTTTTCTGTAATATGGCATAAGATGTAGAATTCTAGTATGTCATCATAGGCAACTTTAAAACGTTGGTACATGGCGTCCGAGAGAGACAGAGATAGACCGCTGAAAGGGAGCTGGTGTGGTATGGTGTACATCTTAGCCGAATGGTCCCGCATTGGGAAGTTGTTGCAATTGCTTGCGAGTTTTTTTCCAACGTTACGGACAGTTGGAAGTAGAAAAACTTGTAACGTCGCGAGTCATCGTCAGCAAGTCCCGGACCTCTGGCATGAGGATGGAACAAGGTAAAGGTAAAGGTTACAACACAAGATTTTCAGGATTCTAGTGTGATATTATAGGCTACGGGTGAGTTGTAGAGCATTTGTCAATATAGCGCGGGTAAAGCCCCTGTCACACATTCACGAACTCAGCGCAATCATGCTTTATAGGTGTAGGTTGGCACAAAGTCGGCTTGGTCGGTTGGTGTTCGGTGAATTCGGCTACGAAATGTTTCAAAATGTTAAAATATATGGGGGCGGCATAACCTAATACCTTCTGGATAGCTGTCGTATTTAACCCTCTTTAGTCAAGAATACTGTCATTAATTTTCAGACCGAAACCAAAACAAAGGTCCAAGCATTATGCAAATTGGCAAGGTAATTGACACCTCAACGTGATATTGGAACTTCACACCTGAAGTGAATATCGCAAAACGAAGAAGACGTGAGAAGCCCCCAAAGTTATTCCCAGTCCGGTCTGCTGGCATTTTCATATGTACTAGACTACTAATACATGTATATTTGAGGTGGAAATTCTGAAAGGTAGTAACGAATGCAGATAAGACTCATAAGTTTAAATTAAGCAGTGAAAATAAAAGTATGGGTTACGTGTAAGGATTTTTTGTAAAGATCACATACATTCAATCACTTCTAGTACAATGTATACCGTTTGATAGATTTTTTACAATCAATCAATCAATCAATCAATCATCCACGGGCTTCAGGGTAGAAGCATGGCGGCCGTAGACAGCTGTCTGCAGAGGCTTCTATCAGCAGCGAGGACTCTCCAGGAGTCCTTGGTGACGCCCACTCTCCTCAGGAAGTCGAAGGGCAGATCCTCCCAGCGCCTTCTGGGACGACCTCTGGGGCGCTTCCACGTGGGGTCAGGTTCAGCAGTGACCAGTTTACAATCTTCTAGTTCATTTGTCCGACGTGTCCTATGTATAGCTTTTTTCGTTTCTTGTATGTATCATACTTAAGAATATCGTTAACATCGTTTCATTTTAAGCTTCAATGTTATGAAATTGTTAGTTGTGCGAAAGCCAATTACTAGTAGTAAAGTTTCGTTAGTAAAAACTTATATGATATAGATAATACAAAACGTAACAAATACATAAGAAATCGGTGTCAACAGACGTCAACAAACCAACGTCAAAACGAAATAAAAAATCTAGTCAACAACCGAATGTCAAACCAAACGGAACAAAAAACTTGCTAGCCAACAACCGAACGTCAAACCAAACGGAACAAAAAACTTGCTAGCCAACAACAGAACGTCAAAATGGAACAAATGAGAAAAAATGAAAGTAATCCTGTTGATCCTGCAAAGTCAGCAAATGTTGCGCACAGCACAGTCTCGTAACTCGATCACAAAGAGGATGAACCTGAAAAACATATCACGGAAATAATTAAAATTTATACGATATATATATTTTTTACGTCTCCAGCCGTCGCACCTTGATAAATTTTCTAATGCTTTAACCCTAGTCCTACCAAATGGATGCGAGGAACGAAATTAAGCTAAGGCACCTTTTTTCCAAATACTAGTACTATGCAGCACATTGCTAGCCAAAAATTGTTACAAAGCTGTTGAAATTCATATAACCAACGACCTTTATGGACCGGCAATGGTATACACTAGACTGGGTACACAACAAAATTCATGTAATAGAAATTAATTTGATGGCCATTGTAGTGTTGTTTTCAGTTAATACAGAGGGTATTGGTCCGCACATACATAACCAAAAATACAGGCCTATCTTTGGCGCGAAAGTTAGTCCAGGCTTTGAGGGACATGGTTGAGAAAGGAGTACAACAGTACAACCTACGGAGACGATCTGACTCAGGGAAAAGGGCGATGGGTATGTAATCATATTCAGCTTCAAGTAAATATGGCAGGTATGAAGCGCTGCTTACAGAAATGGTACAAAAAGTACCAAAGCATGCTCCAGCATGTCTAAGTTCCGAAACGTTGTTTTGAAACGTACTTCAATGACCTTTGACCCATTTCACCGCCGGCGGTGCTGGGCTGATCTGCCAAGCTCCCGGCCCGGGTCGGGCTTCGACTGGAACAGTTCTGTTCACGGCCGCGCTTGGGGATTTATCCCGCTAATTAGCAGACAATGTACCGGCGTGCTTCACCGTGCATAACAATGCTGCATAAATTACGGATTTTCTAAGAGTGTTGCACTTTAGTAGACCATAATGGTACATTGTAACAGCAACAGACATTTTTGGTTAAAATTTACACGATTTTACTGGCTCACATGAAGATCTGATTTACCGAACGTCGAAAAAAATCACGTGGCTCTTCTTTGCTCACCAAACCCAAGAAACAAGTCAGACTATTCTTAAATAATATGTGCTTACTCGAGATTTGAATAAGATTTGAAGCGAGCTATTTTTTTTCTGCAAAAATTCCAGCAAAGCATTATTTACGATTGCAAAAGTAAAACGACACAAACGACTCTTGTAACGCAAAGTATTGCAAATAAACAGTCAGGGACTTGATAAGATCGGGAATCTACATGTGTATCAAGCATAATGTCCGGACATGTCGCCGGTGCGTGATTCGAGTACGGTCTGATGGTATAGTACTGGTATAATGTGCTTGTTCCCAGTATATAAATTGTCCTCTTTTTTGCCAAAATCATTTTCCACAAACGACAGTGGCGTCAATCTTAGAAAAAAAAAATAAAAACCCCTCTTTTGTTGGGATCGTAATTTCATGTATACCGTTCAGCGTGACGCTGTCCGTAAAATTTACAGCAACAAAGGACCTCGGTTTGACCATGGACTTCTCTTTTTAAACCTCCTTGGTTTGACGTATTTTTACCGAAAAAGTGAGTGTGGCAAAGGACAATATTAGGATGAGTAAAGTGCCGGGCTAGGTTGTGCCGCTACCTTTGATCTGAAACTCCGACCGCCCTGTGGGGTCGGAGTTCATCAATCAATTTTGACAGGCTTGCGCCGCCGCGCGCAGTGTCTATCGCGAGATTTGTGTGAATTTTGAATTTAATTATCGTCATTACTTACTAGTCCATTCCTCAAGACTTCTGATTTGACTCAACATTCAAAACTACTGTTTTGACTACAGAGTTTTGGTGGATGCAATTAATCATGATATGTTTGTTCAATACTTATATTTCGCATACGAGTTTGAAAAAAATGCCTGTTGCCTTTCCTCCCCGTAAGCAAATGTGTATTCCGCTACCGAATTCTCCCGGTCAGTCCGGGTGGCTTCGCTGATCGGGGCACACGTCCTAGTGTGCTCTAAAACTTACGCTTCCAAAGTTTCCTTATCCTACCATAGGCTTATCTGTAACATTAAATGTCTTGATTTTGACAAACGTCAGTAAAACCGGTACCTACGTGGAACATAAAAAAACAGGTATGAATATGCTTATTTCAGTACCGAAAACACGGGGATAGCTGAACATAATTGGTTACTTCGGCACGCTCTGTAGGCGGGACACTAATCAACTCATGACGCCCCCGTGCATATGAATGGATAACGCGACCGATCACTCGAGAAATAACGCGGGTGACGCGGGGCTACCTATGAGGCTCCGGCCACACAAACTGCGTTACCGTAACGCGGTATCGTCGCGATATCGTCGCGACGTTATCGCGCCGACGGCGCACCAGTATCGCGCCGCTAACGCAACCTCCGTCAAATGTAACGCAGACATGACTGTAACTGTGTATACATTTACATTGTAATTTTTGTTGCACAAATTATTGTAAGTTGCAATGACAACAGAAATGAATTTAATGTAAAAACACTTGTTGCTAGAATGCAATTATTTATGGATAGTCAAAAGGAAATGAACAATGAATGTACGAGTGTATGGATAAATGAAGGAATAAATGAAGGAATAAATGAAGGAATAAAAGATAAATGCAAAACTGACATTAACTTACAATGTAGCTTCACCATGATCCCTGTAATTAGAAGTCAAAAGTGTAAGATGTTTCAAATACTAGTACAATGAATATTTGAGATAAACACAGTACCCAAAGGAAGGATGGTATGAGGGAAGGAAGGAAGAAATGAGAATTTATTCCCCTCTCTTCCTTCTCTCACTCCTTCCTTCCTTCCCTCCTACCTTCCTTCGTTTGAAAAGAATTTTCTCATCACACCCCAGGTCAGTGCACATTTTGATGGAGCCCACACCAGTATGGAGCTGAGTTTTCCTATCCTGATCGGTTCCATCCCCCTACGGAGCATCTACCCCACCCCTCCAGCCTTCCCCCCACCCCCAGTCCCCCCTGGGTTTGACGCAGCATACCCTCCCCCTAACCCTGGTGCATACCCCCCACCCAACCCTGGCGCCTACCCTCCCCCTAACCCTGGTGGTTCGTACCCCCCCGGCGGTCCTGATGCTGTGTACCCCCCACCGGGTGCTCCGTATCCCCCCCCTGATGGAGGACTAACCCCTCCCCCTGTCATCATGCCAGGAGCTGACACACCCAACCTTCGTAAGTTCAACACTTGACTCATTTCATAGTATTGTAACAGATAGCAACGCCTAAGGCCATGTTGATTTGATTATATGGATGACATCCTCTGGGAACCCCAAAACTGATGCGCGCGTGCAAATAAAAAAAAGTTTTGTCAAAAAAAAGTTAAGC